TAATTTTTTTTAACTGAGATAAGTTAATTTTATTTTCTTTCTTAACTTTAAACTTATCTAGTCAAACTTTTTTCTTTGTTAACTTTTAACTTAACTGAAGGCAATTTAATCGAATTAACTTAACTTGCTACACTTAATTATTTTCATTAACTTGCCCACCATTTCATGTAAATTAGTTGTATACAAGTATACAACTATAAGGTCAATGATTAGGTGTACCTATCTAATTGTTTGATGCAAACTTTAAGGCATACCTATATTATTTAATCAGCTAAAATTACTCAATTTTTACAGATTTATGAAAATCTAACCATTATAGGTATAAAAGTATATTATTGTAATTATAAACAGAATATATCAGTATTGTTAATTAGTTGGTTTAAAATATTATAATATATTACCCAAACGAGTAAATAATAATAAACATTTAAAATATAGAACATTTTAAATATTTTAAATATATATTACCTATCAAATATATTATAGATCAATAGCTATACTGTATGGCCTATATTAGTTTTATTATGCATAAAATACAGAGATAATTTACTAATGAAATGTCAAAAAATATTTATATTAATTTTATGACGTGAAGTAACGTATCAACTAAATATAGTTATCATATTACTAAATGTACAACAATCTGCTATTCGTCATCTATGTGATTCAGATTTATATTGCTTAGCCTTTCACAAACATCATAGAAATCCTATTTTATAGGGTAAGTAGGTACATAGTATATTAATATTGTTGTCGTATACGATTTGCAATCCTAATCGTCGAAACCTATCCAAATACGCCAGTAAACGAGAGTCACCACGGAATTAGTGATAAATTAAACAAAAAATATTACACACATACGGTGAAATAATTTTGGTAAATATGTCCGGGATTGCCAATCAGTTATAGAAAGATGTGAGGCGAAATAATAAGCGAACGTTTTCAACTGTTTTATAAATATATAGAGGTAATTATTATATTATGATATACCATTGGTATTAATATTATATTATAATTACTAAAATTTAAATATTACTGTACTTGAGGACGTTTATTTTATAAATAAACATATTATACCAGAAATACAGTTTAGCGTTGCACGTATAGACTGTGGAAAAGTGATCAGTGATAGAAATAATCGGTAAGCAGCCGAATGCCGATATGTCCTACACGAAATAGAGGTACCTACCTACGTGATCAGAGATTTCCTAGACGACTTTTAATTTGAAATCTCTGTACCTACTGCATAATATTTGCCATTTGGACATTAACTGCCCAGAGGGATTTTTTGAAGTCGAAAACAGAGCATACTTAGCGTCTACACAAAAATGATATAATAATATTATATCCGTCAGCTATTACAATTTTATATTAATATCAACAGTCAGTCGTACGAGAAGTGGTCATAGTGTTCTGTTAAAAGGCGCCACTGAGAGGCTTTTCTTTAAAATTTTCCCTTAGCACCCGGAAAACCTCGAGATTTTTGTACGAAAAAAACAGAGCCCTTGAATTTGATACAATATTACTGTTGTTGTTATAATATAATTAATACACTGCGCAGTTCGAACCGTTCAATTTACGACAATTAATACTATTTTGTCTAGAGATTTCCACTACATACTTTCTGGTAACCGCGGTACTGTTGCTACGGTTTAAATAGTGCCGCTGTCTTTATACCTATAACAAGTCCTACAATCGTGTTCTACACCTGTCGCGACCGCGGGCTTAGGTCCTGGGCATATAACCTATTCCGAATTATAATATTATCATCATAACAATATTAGCACGATAATGAAACCGAAACAACGACAACAACAACGTTAACAGAAAATCGCCACTCACATTGTCCGTCTCGGCGATGCGTTCCGGCGGCTTCGGCGGCTGTGGCAGCGGCTGCTGCAGCAGAGTCCCGCGCGTCTCGGTCGTGTCGCGATGCGCGCGCGTCCGTCACGTACTGAAAAGCGGCGGCAGCAGACTCGCTCGGTAGCCTTTTACCCACCTTCCCGCCAACCCCGACGCGACCACCACCCTATCCCACCCACTCGCGGCACGGCCACCCGGCCACCCACCCACGCCAGACCGTCTCGCCGAGCGGCCGCTGCACGGCACGCGCGGCGCAGTACAAAGCCGCGCGTAGTACGGCTCGCGTAGTATATACGACCTACCTGCCGCCGCCGCCACGACCACCGCTTCCACTGCCTCCACCAAAGCCACCACCGCCGCCGTTGCCGCCAAACATGCGCCATTCCGTCTATATCAAGTCTTCTACTACGGTGCACACTACTACCACTACTATACTACTACTACTACTACTACTACTACTACTACTACTACAACTACTATACTACCACGCTACTGTTATATACGTGTACTATATACACAAGCGAGCGCACGCGCTTCAGTACACGATCGTACCGAACCTATGCATATGATATAGTACTCTTGTGTATATCATGTCAGTAAGTATATCATATATTATGTACTGGTATAATAATAATAATATAATATTATGTACTCTCCCTCGTACTTTGTAATTTTTTAACTCTTCGTATGAGCAGGCTCGTTGTAAACGAACGACATTATATACAATATGTGATATACCACTGTATTATAATACCAGTATACCGTAGCCATAGCCCCCCCCCCCCCCATAATCATTTTTTTTTCGTTTGTGCTGCATAGTATAATAAAAGTATAAACAAATAATTGATGTTATTAATACACATTAAACTCAAAAATATGTGAATCTATGATAAACAATATTTTGTAATATGTTGTATTCGTAAAAAGTTTAATGATGTACATTCCATCTCTCTTCATGTAGGATAATCTCACGATTGCCCGCGTATGCAATTTATTATAATGTAATATTATTGTCTTAAATTCTAGCGATCTACTGACAACATAAAACCACGGTGTCCTATATGTATTGTTTGCAGACGACAATCTATATTGACGTTGGTTAATATCGGCAACAAAATTTACCATGAACGATGGCCGGCCGTTGGTAACTATTTTTTTTCAAATGTTCGTTGTCATTGTGATATTATTGAGAAATCATAAGTAGGCACGTGCCACAATTGCCACTTGTGCGGCAGTTTATAAGCAATCTACATACTTACCAGGGGGGTCATCATTATAATAATATATAAGTTCTACTGCGGTATAAGGCAATAGGTGAGTGCATATTATAAGACTAATGTAAAAACCGTGTGGCCCGCACAAAATGGTCGTGACAATGCGATTTGCGTGTCGCGCCTTGACGACACCCACCGACGGACGTGCGCTCTTGCAGTGCACCGGTCAGCGGCTCGCGGGTGTTCGTCGTTGTCGTCGTCGGCCGCGGCGGTGGTTGCTGCGCTTATTGCCTTTTCGCTCGCCGCCGCGCCGTCCGGAGATGGGTCCCACGGCTTATTTCCGTTTTCACGGGACACCGCGGCCGCCCGGAACAATGGCCGCGACGATTGAATTTCTCGTGCGCCCGCGGAGAAGTACGGGCCGAGGTGTCTCCCCCCCCCCCCCCCACCACAACTAACATTTTGCAATTTTTTCGCACAGATTGTGAACAATATTGTAAAGTCGTATTATTTCATTCAATACGCATATTCTAATAAATTGTAATATAATATTTTTATTTATTCAGAATATTTTTAAATCCACATCATGGAGCCCCCCCCCCCCCATCAGTTGGTCCGATCGACTAGACACAAATTTTAGACGACATTTTTGTTGTAGTATCACTGCAGGTATGCATACCATAGGCGTGCGCAGAGTTTTGCTTCCGAGGGTACACACTAAAAATTAGGGCCCACAATCATTTTGAAAACAATTATAGATACAGACAAATGTTTTAAAGATATCAAATGCACCAACAATATTTATTTTATTTTTTTATTCATTCTAACAAACATTATATACCTAACAATATTTAGATATACAATCTTATAATGAAAATCGACGTTTAGAACGAACAACATTTTTGAATTCGTCAATAATTTCATTAATTTAGTTTACACTTAATTAATAATTAGGACCCTAGTCGTCATTGGTGAAGGGTCCAGGGGTGGCCAGGCACCCCCTGTGCGCACGCCTATGATGCATACTACCTATATATGGCTATATAACTACTGAAGTCGACGTAATATAAACAAATAATATTATAATATACAATATGCATGATAAATATTGTGCTTCCGGAGTTATGTGCCACGTGTGCATAGGACTTACTGACATTGGCCCCTACGCCAGAACGACTGTAGTATCACTGTAGGTATAGTTCCTACAATCCTACTTCCTATTATATATTATATTTTATATTTAAATTTATTATATCATATTACGTCTTGTAAAGACAGCCCAGAAACGTAGAAAACAAAAGAAATATCATAAATTTATAACTTTAACTTAGGGATAAACAATAAATTATATTTACTTAACTAGCCAATAAATAAAAATAAAATTTGAAACTTGGAAAAACATAATAAGTAATCTGTATGTCTCGGATTTCGTTGATGATATTCTATCATCCAAACATCACAGGCACTCATTGAAACTGTAAAATAAAAGTTATATCACTGAATCGGTTCTAAATAATAATAAGTCAACAATACATTATCTGCTAGTATCTTCCATTGGTAAACATTTTACCAGAAAAACCGTGTCAATAAATATTGTAATCAACAGGAGTATCCTAAATATTGCATTTCTTAGCACACCCATACTCCTATATTTTTTCGTCTGTGCTTCGCTTCTCCTTTTATTCATCCAAACGTTTAATTTGGGAAAACCTATCTCCTTTCATCTATTGGTTAGGTTACTGCTTTTGTTATATTTTTATTACCATACTTCGGCCGTGACATTTTGTTTTACCGGACAGATGGCACCACTGCTGAATTCCTATTTTTATATATTATTAACGGCAACACAAGAGTAAAATTTTTTCACGACATTATAAACTGACGATTATAATGTAACGACAGACGTCTTTAGAAACACTTGATATGGAGGGCACGAAAAAATTAGGTAATCATCAATGCACCGAGCAAAGACGCGCCAAAGGTTGTATAGGCCGTCAACTTCGATCAGTAAAACGCTGTGCAAGTATCGAACTTTGCTTCGTTCACGACCAAATGCGCTACGCCTTTAATGTTCATCATCAACAACGAATTGTATTTGGCCAAGAAAACTGTCTGTTATTGACGACGGTTTGCCCCATGAGACCTACTCCCAGCACATCCTGGTGATGGAGTGAAACAAGTGTGCTATACTTTAATATTATTTTACAGTGCCAGACACAAATAATGTTATATTGTTGTTTTTTTTCGTTATTTCTAATAACGGCGTCTTGATAGGCAAAATAACTACATTAACGGCGATCATGCAATCGATGCTACAATGCCTCTAGATAGTTTTCCTCTGCAAGGAAAATTGAGGGATCATAGATATGTTTTTACGTTTCTATGGCAATAAACAAAGCGTTACTCAAAATCGGTTATAAAAAAAAGTTATATTCAGCTCAAAAACATTTCTATGTTAAAAACGATTTATTATACGCAGAACCGCTTCAACAATAAAATAAAATTTACCTATTGCGATGTTTATAAATCAAATTCAAATATTATTGAGTTAAAAACTAAACTCCGAGAAGAGAAATATATTGTGACATAATAGTTTTCGAGCTCAAATGTATATTAAATCAAACAGTTAGGTAAGTCATCGGATTATATGATGGTGTTTCTTACACGGGATAAAATGGAAAGGAGACCCTCTGCACAGCCCGGCCATCACATAGTAGGCAAAAATAGGTGAGGGATTTGGAGGCTAAGCCCCCCCACCAAAATGTCAAACGCTATTTCCGCCAGTGTACCTAATTGTTTGAACAATGATAATATCGTAGAACCGTGTTTTCCTCCAAATTTAGCTTTGGAGCTTCAGAATTGAGTTGCGATATGCTTTTATAATAACTAAAAAAATATATAAATGTTTGAACATTTTAAATGTATTTCATTCAGTTTTACAAAGCAAATAAAATAAACTTACAAATTATAATACTAAATTAATTAAAAAGTATTCCGTTTTTACACATAAAACGTTATTTATCAAAAAGCTTATTTTGTATCATATGGGTTGTAATTGCAAAATTTAAATAATTTCTAAAATGGGTCGTGGGTTATCAGTGATCACTACCACCACGATAACCCGCATTGTTTTGGTGTAATTAAATTTTGATATTTACGTCATGATTCTGTTCATAATTTAATTAATAATTATAATCTTCTACTATTTACTAATTGCATATTTTATAAATAAAGATATATGTCCAGGAATTTGAATACAATTAAAAATAAATAGGTAAAAGGGTAATTGGTTTTGATATTTACCTTTTTGATTAATTGGTTCTGTACTAAATCTTTTTCTAAATTGTGATTGCTGGTAATTGTTGACTGCTTTTCAAAATTTAAACTTGAGAGCTTGAGACCTGAAACTGCAAGTATTATAGTGAGAGTAGGAAATAATATTATCTTTTTTACAATGACAAAATATCTGTTTGCCATATTTTTACAAAATTTTAGTATGCGAAACGATGATCGACGGACCCTCTTGCAAACGATTTAATACACCTATAAGAATACATATATGTATAATTATTATTACCTATACATTCATATTATTTTAATCAATGGCTGTTTTGTTTAATTTTTCAAACTTCAAGCTTTTATAATACTAATAGTAATTTTAAATACTATATTACTATTATATTATTAGTGTACAATAATATAATAATAAACACTGTCGTCAGTAATATATTATTAATTTGTATAGCTATTGTGGAGTATATAATAACACATACCAGCTTTGTACCACGTAATTGTGACAAAAACCTATACCAACTATTAGCTATGTACCATGACTTACATAGGTATTTTAATTTAGTGGTTCTATGAAACATCCATATAATATGTAATCATATATGCCTGCAGTTATAGGTACGATGGGTTTTAATCTTTAAATGTATCAAGTATAATAACAATAATAGAATAGGTGGTTGAGTCTATAGACCATAGGCTTAATATATATAATATATTCAATAATCTATTATTTCTACTGTTATTTCTTGAGAGCTTTCGCTACAACGATGTAAGATTTCCCATTCAAGGTTTTGTACAATATTAAAATCCTAAGTAATAAATTCTAATAGACGATGATAATAATTAAATATTAATTAATCATAACATAAAGAAACCATACCGTTCATCGCTGTTAAAGTATTATTATTGAGAATTGAAATGTATCTATCCTTGTTGAATAAAAATATAATGTTTATATTGTAATATTCCGTTGATTCATAGTCCTCGTATCAATGCGATTATACATATTATTATAATCATATTTAACATAATATATAATTAGATTCAACTTTTCAAGTTATTAAAATGTTAATAGAAAATTACTGTAATATTATAGTGACTTAATAATGTTTTTCCTGTCTCCTGAAAAGTGAACATGTACTGTTCTCCCAGGTACCTATTACTCAATCTGTAAATACTTTATTCAGTCTGAAGGGTAAAATATGCTGGCTGACGAGTCACGGTTGCGGCCTGTGTACCTATTATGTTTAACACCCAAACGTAGTGGGTTCATTTGAATGATGACCGATCGGTCAATGTTATTATTAATATTACAACGGTTCTACTTTATGATGCATATAATGCATATTATAAAGTATAATGATTGTTAAACTAAAACAAATTAGAGGGACATTTTAAGGTATGTATTTTATTATAAAATACATCAATGTATCATGTTTGACTCATAATATGCTGTCAGGTATGCCGTATGAGTTTTTATACTGATAATAAAATATGCTGTACAGTATAATTTTAATAATTGTTTGGTAATTGGGTAAACATTAAACGGCATAAAAATTTTTTACTGGATGGATCCTGAATTATTTTATGTAATAGACACTGTTATAGTTGGGTCCTGAATATTTGTTTTTGTAATATAATTATTTGGTTGTTGGGTTCCGGATTTTATATGCTCAAAAGATGTTTAAAATGGAGCGGCAGTCGACTTATGCAACGATGACCAGTAGTTGAACTGGTCTATAAAATAAATATAATATAATCGAGCAATTCTATAATCGTATATGTATTATATATGAACATTTTTCAGATAACACAGCAAAATGTGTATTGAAATGTATTTATGCACACATCATATATTAGGAAAAACTCAAAAATTATTAACATGTATGCACATGTACATATACGCCAGGTATTTTAAGTATAATATAACTGTAAAAAAAAAAGTAAAAATTTTGTCTAATTATTTGTTTGGTTTTTTTTGTTTTTTTTGTTTTATAGGTTATTTATTAAGTTGCAGGTAAATTCAAAATAAGAAATAAAAAAAAATTATAAAGAAAACAGTTTTAAATTCAAAATTGGGACTCAAGACATTTCTATAATATTTTATAAATAATGAATCATTTAAACAATATCAATATTATATTACCTATCATATTATGAGTATTATATAATAGTCCGTGCACAAGTCCATGGACAAGCGTTGAGTTAACGGTACTTAAGACTTAAGATACTAGAGTAAGTATTAACACGTCATACTATTTTATGTGTATAATAAATACTATATACTATTTTACCATTATATAAATAATATACATTATGGTGTGGACATTTTTCTTTTGAATAAAATGATATGTTAAATCTTCAGTATTTACATTTTTTCTATACAACTGCTAATATATAATGTATACTACAAAGAATCGCAATCAGATAATTAACACTCACCATAGCGTATATTTTTATAATGATTCATAATAATTTATTTTTAAAAATGAAACAAAAGTATTTTGGTTAGATTATTATGTTCTGTTCTAAAATAACAGTAACACAGACTAGTGAATGAAATAATAATTTAAACAACGGTCAACAATATAAATTCTCGATCGTACGTGAACAGTATTTTATTAAAGAAAAGGTCAAACTGTTTCCTTTTCCTTTGTTGTTTATGATGAAGGTTTCATAACCGTAGTGTTGGTTGCCAATTTTTGTACTTTTCGCGTGTGCCACGAACCTATAGAAGTTGATTTCTAGACCACGAAAATTATGTATATAAACTATAAATAAAGTCGACTAAGTAACCAAGTGCTATATTATACATAAATACATGTTATAATAAATAAATAAAATAAATAATTAATATTTATTCACTAGCTAATCTAATCTACTGAAGCTTAAAGACTTGAATTAGGTATACGATTCAAAGATGGGAAGATATTATGTTAACTAAAATAAAAATATTATTCAACTCTTTCAGATATTTTAAAGAATTAAATCAAATTAATAAGAAATAGAAAATAATAAATTACTAATATTGTTTTATTCTCAGTTACCTAAAATGTCATTCAGTTATTATATAGACATGAGACTACGACGATGTGTATCTAAATTGCCTATCCAAAACGCCGTGTTACCATAATCTGTATTATAAAAAGTGGCGGATGGTCCATTTTTAGCCTACCGGGAAATTTTAAGAAGGGCTTCCCATTTAGAGAAAAAACCACACATTGTCAGGTAAGCTGGACAAATTGTGGAACTTGGGTTTGACTTATATTAATTTTTAAAATTGACATGTTTATATACGTCTTAACTAATTTAAAAATATCAAAATATCAATGGTATTTTTGTGTTCAAATTGATTATAATATCATATAAGTAATTTAAAATCCGTTAAACCAAACTCCTAAGGGTTCTCAGTGGATAAGTTCTAAATTTTTTTTTCTAAAAATGCAATCATTGACGTACATGATGGGGATTGGGGATGGGAACCATCTAGGTTATGGGCAACGTGGCATTTCAAGTTAAGTTTTATCATAGTTTACAATCGTTATTTAACTTCCATATAATAATTTTACAAAAAAGAAAACTGAAAACATTTATCGTTATCTACTTCACATCCTGCACCAACAAATATAATATAATAGTCTATAGATGATAACATGACCAGACGAAAAAGGTAAATAACGTTGTTTTGTTACCTACTTGATGTCACAATTCTCCAAAATATGTTGGTTGTTAAATGAAAATTAATTTTCATTATATTGTTATATTCATGAATCTCAAACTACTTACTAAGGCAATAATATAATATTAACGATATCTCAGTTCATGATTGTAACTTATACTTTTTAATTATTATTTACACTAACGCTTTCGATACCTAATTTTGAAACCTAACTTTAAAGCTAAATAAAACCGGTCGAAACTTGCAAGAAGAACTTTAACTTTAAGCCATGCTATTTGGTATATAAGCGTATGGGAACATAAGTACGCATACATTAGGTATACAATATAATTATGATTTTACAGTTTTAAACTAAAAAAAATTGGCGGTCGTAAAAGGTTTCAATTGGTAGTTCACTCGTTTTTCCATTGGAGTGCTAGTAGTATTTCTCACTTTATCAAACAGCTGATTTTTTTACAAGATACTTTGGGCATCGCTTTTCTAGTCTAATTTCAGTTCCAATTTATACCTACGGTGTTTTGAAACCAGTTATCTTAAAGTTTAAACGGCAACTCTGAAGAAGACTGAAAGTCTGAAAAGCTGAAAACTGATCTAAGAATCTAAACATGTTATTTTAAGCCTACCAGCTGTTTGAGCATCGACAACAATTCGTAAAAATATGGTAAATTATCGATTATCGAACCACTCGATAGTTTTGGTTACGTGTCATGTTAACATTGTTAAATTGTGAACAATCGAATCGTTTGCAAATCTAATCTTGAACAATCGATTTGTTCGACTATGACCATCACTATATATGAATAATTTTTATTGTTTTGTGCGGGCCATACCACTATACTCGAGGTGGATTGATAGCAATGCACCTTGACACTATTATAATAATATAGTATCAGTGCACGGCCAGTATCAGTGAAAGCCACAATACCACATCAGAACAACAACAAAAACAACAACAGTGGCCGTTTACCACGGTGAAGACGACTCGGGTCGCCTGCGCAGTAGGACTTAAACACCTCACCCGACTAGCGATGGGCGCAGGACGCCAAGGAGTGATTGACTTGTACAAGACGGTAAGTGTGCCTGTGTGTGTGCATTTTGTAAGTGGGTACCTCCTACCTTTACCCATATGCCATATTTTGGATTTCCGGTGGGGTTTGTGAAATCCGATCGCAATCGATCGTGCTCGTGGCCCGTGGGTATAGGGGTGACGATTTGGGTACGGGTAGGGTGGTGTCGTTGGGGGGAAGGGGGTACTTGTTGGATGCAATCATTTTATCATCATTCATTACCACTAAACGTCATATTATATTACATCTCGTACGGATCCTGAACGTGACGTATTTCACCAAATAAGTATAGGTACTACGAAATCTATTTTTTTTTCTTTTCAATATCACTGCCACCCACTTCGCACAAGAATCGTTGGATTTAAAAATAGTTTTTATTTTTTATTATTGTATTATATTATATAATAATAATAATAATAATAATAAAAACATGATATAATATATTGTACCTACCCATGTTAATTGTTCAATTATTTGTAAAGCAAGTCTCGTCGACGGAGATTTCAATGAAATACAAAATTTTGATTTTTTACAGTCTATTTTTAGCACGACGATCTTGCTTCAAGCCAATATTTTGTAAATATTTCAGTTCACCTTGTACCTCACACAGCACATCACAGATTCGACCTTTTTGAGGACGAACTTGTAATATATTTTTGTCATAGTATTTATGCGTAGGACGACCCATCCAGTCACTTCATCGTTGTTAAATTTTTATTTATAAATAATATAAATAAATATAATATTATGCAGTATGTACCTATTTTAATATTAAAATATTACACTTTTCCCCGAAAAGTTTTTTATGTTCCACACAATAAATATCTGTTCAAATACATCATCACCGATGAATATTGCATATTATTTATATCTTCGTATTCAGTTGCGTAACTTATGAGATATATTATTTAGGCAAAATATAAAAAGTATTTTTGTTTGATTGTGTCAAAAAATATACATTTTTGTGGTGGAGGTCTGATTTTTATCCCTTAAATAATTTACCAACTATAAATCTATGCCTACATCATAGATAATATTGTACCTGAACATTTATTGTTACCTACGTTATATCAATCCTTAAAGTTTTGTTGGATTGTAATAAGTGAAAATATAATATCAATGTAAATTATGATCTATAAAATATTAATATTGATTTTAATGATTTCTTATAGTATGATAACATAAAATAACGTAGACAAAAAATTAAATGTACCTATTCAAACTCAATCATAATGCTTTAAAAATAAAATGTATTGTAATTCACAACAATGTATCGAGCCTACAACAGGTGGGCAAAACTATATCGTCGCTACTCGCTACCTCTATTAAGTCTTGGAAGGAAATTTTAATAAATTTCAATTGCCCCGCAGATAACGTCTATAACAGGGCCGTTACAGACGTATGCAAATCGCGTGATACTCAGTGCCGTCAAGTCCCACTAAAAGGCTTTATTAAAATTATAGATATATCCCTAACGCTAATAGTATAACTTCACTATCCTAATGTGGTGAGTGGCTCTCTAGCCCTATGTAAGTAGGTATACCTACTATGCCTCGGAATGGTCTATAATGGGGGGGGGGGGGGGGGGGGGTGGTACGAAAGGGGACGGAGTACCCCAACTAATTTTTCTGAAACATTCGCGTACCCCTACTTTTAAGGGAAACGTACTGGTCGCTTCATCATTCTGCATATTTATCAAAATGCACGAGATACCATCATAATATTTGTCTTATATATTATTTCATAACCGCGGATCTTTATATTAGCTAATACTTAATATTAACTAATAGTAAGTAAACTATTAACTAATTATTACTTTTATTATCATTTTGAGTTAATTATTATTTATAAATGTATAACTATAATATTATATATTATGTAATAGGTACCCTACCTAGTACCTACAGTAATTAGTAATTACCTATGTCTTGTATATTAACTTGCATTTTTTAAATTTTTTATTGATTATTCGTAAATATTTTTTATAAGATTTAAAAAGATGTATAAGGGGATGTAGGGGCTTAGAAATAAAACAATATATTATAATATTAAACGTAGTTCAACAAGTTTTTAACTTCATATTCCGAAGCAGTGTATTTTATTTTTACCAAGAATTTCGATACAAAAAAATTTCGAATTTCGAAAGAGCAATTCCCGCTCAGTAATACTTTGAATAGTTAGGACAGTTAGGTACTTATAAATTACAAACAAATATATTTATTTATTTCTAAGTAGTAAGTTGTAATAATATTATAATATAAATTACAAGTGTAACATCAAAAAATGGAAAATAAAATTGAACTAATTTCAATGAAAATTATTTAAGTCTTACACCTTTTTTTTATCAAATTATTAAAAATATCTTATTCCAATAAAATTAGTTCCTTACTTACCCATAACTAATTAACTACAATTAATTCAAAAATAATGAAAATACATAGGTAGTAATCATTTTTTTTTTGATAAATTTCACACTTTTCGACTTAACGTTTGTTATTATTATAATATAATATACATTATATTTTACACGATGCAATAAATACCACGAATCAATTCAATATTCATACTATTTCGCGGTACTTATGTACAAGCTAATAAAAATAATATATTATGACACAATTATTATAATAATAGTTAGGTAATAACTTCATTAATAACGATAAAATAATTTATATAGTTCAAAATATTTCACAAGTTATCCATTAAAATTTACATTTTACAATAACCTACTTCATTTCGAGCGAGTAGACGACGAATTATAGATACACTCAAAAAATACTAATACATCAGACTGCAGAGCGACTTCGCTGGTCTTAAAAATCTTTACTATTGTATGAATTATTCTCCAAGTCAAATATGAATTAGAAATTATTATTGATGCAAATTATCAGTATTTTCATTTACAATTTCGACATAACAGCGTCAACTTACACCGAGACTCAAATCGATTGTTCAATCGATCAATCGAATAAATCGATTGATATGATAATATATTATTTTATAATGACGTGGAATCGTGTAATGAACAGATACGGATTTTTTTTATCCAAAGAGTGTCAGTCCTTAAGAAATAAGTAGGTGGGCACCGAATTAATCGGTTCCGGGAACTATTCTATCTATTGAAAATTAAAATATTACCATCGGACCATCCTATCGCATAACATTTATGTAGGCTAAATTTTCATAAACATTTTTACCTAAGTGTTGTACCTATCTCATATCTGCCGTTCGTTTCACGGTGGTATCCGGGACGCGTGAAATTATTGAGCCCAAATCATTTAGCCTGCCTATATCAATATTGCAGTATCGTAATTGTATAGGAATGTGCACTTAAAAAAGTATGAGTAAAGAATACAAATCAGCTAATCCTTCTGTGTTTTGGCTTTCGAACGGTATTAAAAATAAAAATCACACTAGGTAGATCTTAAAAAAATATGTTCCTTCAACCTGTTTTAGATTAACTTAGAATAACACTAGTGTGGAATAAAACAGTATAATATATAAATGAATTATTTTTATTGCAGCTACTTTATATGGGACGAGACTATCCTCAAGGTTACGACTTTTTCCGTTCACGGTTGAAAAAAGCTTTCCAACGTAACAGCGACATTAGTGATCCCGAACAAATAAAGATGCTGGTCAAACGTGGCGAGTTTGTCGTCAAAGAGATCGAAGCCCTCTACATGCTCAAAAAATACAGAACATTAAAAGATAGATATTCTACGGAGAAGGATCAATAATAGTCAATAGAGCTATTTAATTAGTATTTTTTTATATATATTATATTATATTATAAAATATGTCTTTGTGTACAGTTTTTTTTATATGCAGTATAAGCTTACAAACAAAATAATAATAAAAAATAAAATGTATTGGTATATATATGTTAATAATCCATTGTGTGAGCAACAATATAAGTGCATTAACAGAAGAAAGCTGTTTTAAATGCAATAATATTATCAATGATTTTTAAATGAGCATAGAATTCTATGATTTAAATTTAAAGATATTAAAAACCATTAATTTGAAGTGATAATTAATTTTAAGACAGAAGCATGAAGTAAATATAAATATAGGCCACATGAATGAGTAACAATAAAAATAAATAATACATTATATTATTTTCTTAAGGGATGCAAGTTTAATTGTTAATTTAATGATAATACGTAAAATATTACATTTTTAGGCATAATATATATATAATATTTTTTATTTATGGTGTAGAATAAGAGATCAGATGTATCAGTAGTTTTTTCTACAATTTAACATGAATATTTATCCAATTTAATGTTTTCAATTAATTTTTAGAACTCAACAAAACAAATAAAAATCTCACATGACTTTCATCGCAAGAACACCAATCTCATCAATACCCGAATCAAAGTTGATAAAATAAAATAAAATATATCTGGTGCAAAACACTAATGTCTAAATTTTAGTCTTATCAAGTAAGTTAAGTTATAAACTTTAATACATTATTTGATAAAAATATATTGAACCTTAACAAATTTGCAATTGATAATTATAAAATAATCCATTAGTGTTCCAATTGTTCTAGTAAAATTAATAGTTGTTTCTTAACTAAAATTATTTGAATTTATAATTTATATTAAGTTCTGTTTAAGGACATAGTATATTGTATAAATTTAACAGCTTTGTTTAGCTTTTTAATGCCTGCAAGCGATTTTTCATTTCTTCTAGGTCATCGTCCTCTTCAACTGCCTCAGTTTCTTGAAGTACTGAACCACCTGGTGTTTCAGTGACTGCCATAGGCGCTTGACCTAATGCTCCAGCTGTGATTTCCCATAATACCTAAAAAATATTATATAATTAGTTATTAATTCAAATTATACTAGTTTATTTAGTTATGTTTAAATGTACTTTATCGATTTCTGATTGCGCTTCTTCTTCCATATCTTCGGGATCATCCATTACATTCTCCATTGTATCATCTAACATTTCTTCAATGATTCCAGCCTGAAATCAAAATCAAAAAATTAAACTAATTCATTTGGAACAATTTTACTTTAATATTATACTAACCTTCATCATTTCCTTGGACAAATCTCTCATAGTAGCTGCAACTTCAGGTACTTTAATCAAATTGTGCATTGTTTGCATTACTTCTGTAGACTTTTGCAGTGAACCAGCCATTCTTAGCACAGCTATAATAAACGAATAAATATAATTATGTGACTGCGAATAAATTATAGTTTATTATGAACTTACACAGCTGGTTTTTCATTTGCATTTGTATAGAACTCATATGTGTCTTGGAAGTAATCAATTTATTGATGGTTTTGCGTGACCTCAGTATTTCTTTGGCCAGAATGATACACACATCTTTGTTTCCCTTCTTGGCTGCTTCTTTCATCGAACGTTTAACTTTTTCTTCTTCTCGCTGTATGCCTGTGTCACAAAGAGAGCATACCGAACCAATATTGTGATTTATTAAAACGGTACTGTAATTGTAAGTGTACTAAAAAAAATGCACATCTGTTGTATAGTTGTATATACATAACACAATGCTAGCATACTTACCTCTTATCTGTCGGTCCAGCTTATACGTCTCTTTGCGTATGGTCGACGTCCACTGTTTGACCTACGCCATAACAGCAGCACAAAACAAATTCACGGGTTAATACGACGACAAGTTTGCACTAACAGTCGATCACGATTACTCACTTGATCCTTAGGATCGACGGTGGCCGATTTACCAAATATGCCCATATTGATGGCCGTCTGCCTGGAACGAGTGAGTTTCCTGTTAATTATGTGCTGCCAACGGCGCTGTCGTTCATAATAGCAATAAAAACGATGGTAAAATTAGTCAAATGTGACTGCAGTAAGTTGTAGACGTGAGCTTGGAGCTTTCTCAAAACTTTTCATCGCTTATCACAGTAACACGCATAATATTATTGTGCTAGTTAAATACTACACAGTAAACACAGATATATAAAAAATACTAATAGTTTTGCTTTTGTTATCTAACGCGTCGTCAACATCGCTTATCACGAATATACATGGTCCGTCCGCCCTATAGATAACATATGTGTATTATCTATGGTCCGCCCAGTCATATGTTTTTGGTGATATTATTATTATCACACTATCACATTATCACGTGAGCTTACTGCGTCCCGAGGTGCGTTGCCTGAACAGCCAGACTGACGATGGCCTGTACGGCTTATCTGATTTTGATAACGACATGCGGCCAAATTTTTGATTGTTGGAAGGCAACGCGAAAACCGCTATCAGCGATTAATATTTATCAATATTATCAATTATCAGAAGACACACCCTTTATACTCAAGTACTCAACCAGCATTCATGACTTTGTAGTAATATTATATTAATGATATTAATATAATATTATGATCATTGATTTTTAATTTTTATTTGTACTCGCATTCTCATTTCTCTCTCTCTCTTTATCTATTTATTCTCAAGACGTAACAGTGTAAACGTACGTAATAGTTATTAATATAATAATTTTTAATTTTGTAGTAATCTTAGAAAATTTTATTTTGTATGTATCAATATATTATAATAATAATAATAACGTGAAAATATTACTGTACTATAAATTATTAAACATTAATAGTTCATTATATCTATTTTAAATGTGAATGAAAGATGAATTCTATAAGAGTGTAGTGAGAACAATTATGTTGTATTGTTTGGTTGACATGGAAATAGAGCAGATGATGAGAATGCTTAGATAAATGAGTGGACTGATGGAAGAAGATAGGAAAAGGAATGAATATGTAAACTGTAAAGACTGTAAGAAGAAGAATATTGTGGTGTCGACCGTTCGCAAGATAAGAGAGAATAAACTGAGATGGTTTGGGTACACTACGTTTTTAGGAGAGAGAAATCAGAAGATGTAAGAATGGTTATTATAATGTATGATGAAAGAAAAATAGGTGTTTGAATGTGATTGAGGGCGATATTATAGGAGTGCTGGTGGTAGGCGTAGATGTTGTGGGAGATTGTTTTATTTGGAGGTTTAGGGATACGGATGACAGACCAAAAATAAGTTGGGATACAGGAAAACAAAGATTTTAATGTATTAGAATTTATGTTTTGTTTATAATAGTTTTTAAATTGTATTGAAGATTGTCCTATGTAAAAAGTACAATTATTATCTGTGTAGAAACAAACTAAAATAGTTGTTAAACTAATTTATTTGTATAAATTTGTTTTTAATCATTTTTCTAATTATTTATTTATATGTATTTTTTCCTACGCAAAATGTATTAAGTCTTTTGTATTTTGTATGTATTGTGTCCATCACATTAATCATTGTCTATAAATTAGTAATTACTTATATTCTCTGAGATTGTGGGTCAAATCAATAGAAACTTTTTTTAGTTTACCATAAAACTCAATTTCCCATTATATATTGTAAAATATGTTTGCCTGCATATACTTGAAAATGTCCCTTATTTTCACATATTATTATGTATAGATTTGTATTGAGTGAAATTTATGCTTTGTTGTTTTATATTTACATTGTATATATTTTGTATCAAATGCCCATATATTAATTTATTAAAACTATTTTGAATTTTCTATTGATTGCGTTATATGATTATGTACATTCCTATATAATATTTCCTTTTCCACTGAAGGTTAATATTAAAACAATAATTTGGTTTAAATACTTCAAACATGGTGAAGTCAAACACTTGATATTCAGATTCAATTTTTAAATTGTATGGATTTTAATGTCTATTTTGCACTATTATTAATCTGAGTATTAATTTTAATAGTAATCAAAATGCCTATATTTTAATTTTCAGGCAATAAATCTACTATGGATAACAGACACTTAGCACTATTATTCGATAATAATAATTTAATGTATGGATTACTACAATATCAAAGACATGTTCAACAATTAGTTGTTGCTATTGGTATGAACGATTCTGATGGTTAGTCTTTTTAAGATATATTTAATACAATAGGTACCTCATATCATAATTATTATTGTACGCACAAGATAATCGGTGTAGTCTACTAGTCTGGTACATGGGCGCAAATAGCGTTTGGGATATGGGGGCGGGTGGCTAAAGCCTTACTTTAATAATATTGAATAAGCTTAAAACAATATTTGGGGGGCTATGGACATTTTTGAGAGGGCTAAGCCCCTAAAGCCCCCCCTATATGCGCCTATGGGTGTATAGTAAAAATATATAATACTAATCTATTAACAGATGTACTCGCCTATGCCTCAGGTATTTGAGAACACTTAAATGTAAATAATCATTAATTAATTGTGTTTATGAATTTAATATTGAATGTTCCTAATGATGTCGTTTTTGCATGCAAATGCATCAATGCATGTTTATTTTAGTCACTAGCGAGAGTGATGACGAATTAAACGATTCTTCATACCATATAAACTATATGAGACTTAGAGATCGGACATTCAAGGAACATTTTAGAATGCATAAGTCTACATTTGAAGTACATAATTTATAATTTATTTTTTTTTTCATTAACAGTAGTACTGCTGTTATAATTTACTATATTTCACAAAATATATGTATTTTATTATTAAATAGGCATTTTACAATGACATGGCACCACATATTAGTAAGACTAACAGACCAGTCAAAGTCCCACTAGACATCCAACTGTTAGGATTTATATGGATAATGGCTACCCCGGATTGCTATAGGAGTGTTGCTGAGAGATTCCAAATGAATCGTGGTACACTTCACAAAATTTACCGAACGATTGTCTCGAGTATAGTTTCTGAAGCACACAGGTATATTCAATGGCCCACAAACTTGAAAAAAGATGAGGTGAGAACTTGTACCTATGGTATGGTTGCCAGACGTATTTAAATACCGATTTTGAACTTAAAACTATTATAAATGTTTACAGTATCTAATTAATACTTTTGTCATTTATCCTGTGATTGTCATATTTTGTTATTAAATTTTTAAGTTTAAATTAAAAATAATCTTTACGACTTTATTATCTTCTTAGGTTGATCATTATTTATTGTTTTAATATAGTATCATAATTTAAACACATAAGTATTATGGTGGCACTCAATTTTTTTTTTTGGTTTTCTCTAGTTTTTAATTTGATCTATTTATTTATAAAAATGATATTGTGAATGTTTGAAAAAATGTAATAAACTTTACGAGGTCGCTCATTGCACTTAAAAATAGCAAATATAAGATAATAATATACCTAAGATAATTTTATTTTTGTAATGCTAAATTTAATTATAAATATCGAGTATACCTTGTTAGGTAGTCTGTGATGAATGCATTAAATTTGACTTAAATGATAAATCATTGTATACAATGAAAAATGATTCTGGCAACTTTTACTTATTCTATAATCAATATTATATCCTATTATGATCTAATACATTACTTAATTTTTAAATATATTTAGATTAAAGATGAATTTTTGGTGGCCAGTGGTTATCCAGGAATAGTTGGAGCAATTGATGGATGCTATATTCAAATCAAACAACCACGTGGCGATAAACACTATAGATATATCAACAGAAAAAAAGATTATGCTGTGATCATACAGGGAGTGTGCGCATATAATAAAAAGCTACTGGACGTCCATATTGGAGAAGTAGGCAGTATGCACGATGCTCGAGTGTTTCGCCGAAGTGAACTATCAAATAGTCTACCAAGATTGCTGGGTCCAGATGAGCACATTGTAGGAGACTCAGCATATCCGATAAGTCCACACATGATGGTGCCATATAAAGACAATGGTGTCTTAACGGCAAAACAAAAGAGTCACAACAATAAACTGAGCAAGGGAAGAGTAAAAATTGAAAACACGTGGGCACAATTAAAAGGGAAATGGAGACGTCTAAAGTATTTAGATATGGATAGGATGGATTATGTTGTAGATCACATTTGTGCAAGTTGTGTCTTACATAATGTTGCACTTGACGGTTCAGATGATGAGTATGAGGTAGAGGAAAATGAAGAGATTGATGTGTTTGAGGAGAGAGATGTAGATTTTGAAAGAATGAAAAGAGAAGGTCAAGTTAAGAGGGATATGTTGGCTGATCTATTATATAGTAACTAAATAAAAATAGTTTTAAGTACTTGTACTTTAAAAATAAATTTATTTTATTCAGAAAAATAAATTGCTAAATTTAATAATTAGTGATAATTAATAATATACCATAATGAATAAATTTAATTTTAGAAAAAAAATTGTTTTCTTTACTAATAATGAGAATGATTGTGTGTTATGTGTATGTATGTATTGTTTGTATGTTAGTATGTAGATTGGTTTTTTTATGATATTTAAATTTTTAAGCAAGTTATGATTATGTAAATGTTGCAATTTATAAACTGTCATAACTTTTATACAGTATAAAAATCAAAATATCATAAAAAATTCAATATACGAACATAGATAATATTTAATACTTTAAGTTAGGTTAAGTTTGAAAAAAGGTCAACTTAAACTATTTTCTTTCTATATTGTTTCTTTTGACAGACTATGCCTAAGACACCTAGAAAAAATAATGTTTCAAATCAGTAATTAAAGAAAACAAAGACAAAATTGTAAGAATTGTAGAAGGCTAAAAGACTCACAAAACAGCAGCAAGAAGAAGAGAACAGAGACAAAGAGGGAGGCAGTATTACATTTTTAAACTATTGTTATACTAAAAATTAAAAATAATTTACTAAAAAAGAACCTTATTGCTTCAACATTTTATTACAAGAAAAATGTATAAGCTATAATTGTATTAACTCAATAAAATCTTTTTTTATGTTTTAAAAATGTTTATTAACTAAGATTATTTAATGAAAACTGGCTTTATTTTTTTATTTAATTTTAAAACTCAGTGTATTTAAAGTTGAAGAGGTTCTGAAATTTTTTATGGATATAATTAAAAAAATATTAAAAATCAAGCCATGAAGAAGACTAAACTAATTTCTAATAGTAATAAGATAAGGATAAAGCACAAGTAAAAATAATGTTAATAATAAAAAATATAAATAGTAATAATGAAATGGTGATTTAAAAATTACTTATCTAATAACTGCTTAAGCAATGCATTTTTTTCGGCTTCAGATTTAACTAAATCTCTAAAAATCTCATTAAAGTCAGCCATATGACCAGCTATTTTTTCTAGATGATCACTAACTACTTTTTTTTTATTTGTTTTTTGTTTTTTAGCTAATGGTTCATCAGGTGACATTGCCGGCATTATATCTGTGCTTGTACCAGTAGCTGTTGCATACAATGCAGGATCAATGTGGCGTTCTACTGTCTTAACACCACAGGATATAGTGGCTAACGGAGTATAGCTTGGATCTTTTGAAAAAATAGACTCCATCTCATCAAAATATTCCCATGAATCCCGACCACGACCAGTTTTGGAGTTTTTTTCCTTTATATTTTTAAAAGTTGTAGTGTGTGTCCTCCATTTGCGCTGACACATTTCACCTAAATGAGTAAACAATTATTAATTTCTATGTGATAATTATATATATTTTGTTAAAAATATAATAATGTACCTGTTACAGAAAATCCAAATTTTTTTAGTTTAGCACTTATTTCATTCCATATTTGGATTTTTGTGCTTTTACCATTGTCAAATTTTTTTTCAAATTCGACATATGTACTCATCAGACATTTAATCGATGACCTACTCCAAACAAATTTTGGGTCATCTTTTTCATCAGAATCATCTAAAATAAGAACAAATTTTTATTAGAAGTTGCAAGTTGTAATTTATCATGAGGCAGAAAGAAGCTTATAATCAGTCTCTGCAATTCAGTTTTCTTTTACCATTAATATTATGTAACAATTACGTAAGTTACAATGACAAATTAGTATAATTTATTTATTTTTTTATAATTGCTATATTATTTTTGAGGTAAAATTTGTTTTTTAAGAGGAGTTGAAATTCATTACTATTTATCTTAAATTGTGGTAGTTGACAAATAAATAAATAATTATGATAACTTACTTTTATTTGTATCCAAATCATTGACAGTCATATCTGTGCTTGGTCCTAGCACTCCAATATCAAAGTTCTTTTCTTTTTGACCTGCTATTAAATTTAACAAAGGAAGGAATTTAAGGAAAAGGAATACATGCTAGAGAGTGTAATGGATAATAGGTAATGAATTAAAGGAGGAAAGCTTTCACAAACAAACAGTATAATATGTATAAAATATGTCCTGAGTCCTAAATTACTATTCAACTCACAGTTAAAACTATGATAGCTAGAGACTAGAAATATGCATGGTACCTTCATACTACTATGTAAGTGTGCACTAAGAAAGGATTTTCAGAAACTCACATTTTAAAGATGGACACACAGAATTTTTTACTTTAATTGGATATGATTTTAGATCTCTATTTTATATTTAGTCAAAACCACCCAAATGACGGTTAATGATATGTGTAGTTTATATTTAACGGAGTTTAAAACAATAAATCCACTGACATTAAATAATTTGTCTTGGGCAACACCGTGCATCAGCTATAATTTAAAAGAAGCGGGTAAGTGGATGTCGCTCTGCTATATAGTAGGTCACAAGTGGGTCAATTAAACTTGAATTCAATGATATTATATCATTGTATTAGAAAAACGATTCTGAGCTGAGACGGTTTGCCAGTCTAGATATTGTTATTATTTATTATAGCCTGGAAGTTGAATTAATATTATAATATTATTCTTTTTTATTCATTTCTATGATGATAAACAAAGCATTAGAAATTAAAATTCTGTTTTAGCTGTTTTTCTTGTGGCATTAAATAAATATTGAGAAAATCGAAAAATGGCCTCTCTAAAGTACCATCTTGATCCAATTTTTCTTAAAGATAAGAAACTTTATGTTGAAATTGAAACACTCCTGGTAGAAATTTTGTATACAGGAATTAAAAATAAACACAATTATAAAACCACTAGCTAATTAGGTAATTAAAACTTGCATTGTAACTTACTATTACTTAAGAGGATGTTATACCCGCATGTGTTGTCTCCGTCTTCCAAGTGCGTAACATAGTACATTTTATGCTCAGCAGAACACGTTTATCTCCAATAATTTAAAAAATAGAGTAAATTGACCTTTTATAAAATCTAAAGGTAAGATTATTATCTTGTCAACCTCATGGGTTTTTTATTATATTTTAATTTTAAAGAGAGTTATGAGTATTTTAAAATCTATAAACAATTTACAATTTTAAAATACTCATAACTCTCTTTAAAATTAAAATATAATAAAAAACCCATGAACCTCATGACCTCAACCTGACTAGATAATAATCTTATCTTTAGATATTATAAGAGGTCAATTCACTCTATTTTTTAAATTAACGGAGATCAACGTGTTCTGCTGAGCATAAAATGTACTATGTTACGCACTTGGAAGACGGAGACAACACATGCGGGTATAACATCCTCTTAATAGTAAGTTACAATAATACTTATTAGTGAAAATGATATTACATGTTTTACTATAGGTCATAACTATACTATAGAAGCTTCTGATATTAAATCAATCTGCAATACAGTTTTCTTTTACCATTATGTATAATTTAAATTAGTACAACTTATTTGTTACTTATAGTTGTTATACTATTTTTTTAAACAACATTTGTTTATTAAGAGGCAGTTGAAAATCAGTGCAATTCATTTAAAATTGTGGTAGTTGACAAATAAATAAACAATTATGATTACTTACTTTTATTTGCATTCAAATTATCATTAATTTCTTGGCTTGATCCTGGCACTCCAATGCCACATGAATTCAAGCTCTCCACATCAATAAAGGCCATTTCCTTTTGGCCTGCTATTAAATTTAACAAAGGTAGGAATTTAAGGAAAAGGAATACATGCTGGATATTATAGGGAATAGTTGGTAACAAATTAAAAGAGGAGAGTTTACACAAACAAACAGTATAATATGTATTTACAAAAGAAGATGTCCTGAGCCTTGATTTAATAATTGTGATTCACATTTTAAAGAGGGGCTCATGTAGGAATTTGTCATAATAATTGGATATGAATTTAGATCCATATTTTATATCGTGTCAAAACCATCCAAATTACTGTTAATAGTAATGTGTAGTTTATAGTTAATGAAGTTTATAACATAATAAAGCCACTGCCATTATATAATAAGTCTCCAGCAACACCATGCAGAATCAGCCATAATTTAAAAATATATCTACTATGTAAAATTAAAGGCATAAAATGGATGTAAATCTACAGTTTTTCACCAATTTTCATAAAATATTGAGATGAAATAAATGTTAAATAATTTTTTAATGAATTATAATTTATTTAATGATTAAATTTGAACTTGGTCTGGGGTCCTTATTCATTACTAATATCTTGTTTTTGATCGGTATAGTAATTTCACAATGTCTACATTAATAAATGCCATCTCTTTTTGACTTTCTATTATGTATAACAAGAAAGAAATGGATGATATTAGGAATAGAATATAATGTTGTTATGATAGATTTCAGATTAGGATTAGAAACTTATACAAAACAAAAGTGATAGGTACAACATTTTCAAAATAATTTGTTAGGATTTATATGGATAAATTGTTTATTATATAATTATTGCTATTTCAACATTTTTGTAATAGCAGTACAAGTACTTAAAAATGTATCGGACCGTTGTTAACAAAGGACTTAGTACCTACTTTGTAGTGAAAGATAAAATACATATTAGTCTAAACAGAATATTGTTAGAACGAGCACATATTAAATTAATATTGCTAATTTCTTAATTTACCTGTGGTTATGACCTCACACAGTACTTGATGTGGGCAGTTGGGGTCATCATTATAGATGGGTTTGTTCCCATTAAGAATGAACTTTACAAATTGTAGAGCCATTATTTATTATTTATTATTACTAAATATTACGTATGTTCCGATATTTCGAAAATTCGATAATGATAATTAATTAAATTTATGCCATTATCAACAAAGTATTATCTTATCAGCGACAGGCCGTCGACGATTCTGCTCTACGGGATGGCCGGTTTAGCGACGGCCAGGATACACAAAAGCCGTCAAGGCAACGCATGAGACAAGCGGCCTGGCTGTTTAGGCAACGCCAAATACGTGATTGGTACCATATTGGCCGTGGATTGGCCGTTTAGGCAACGCACCTCCGGTGTCCGAGTGGCGAGTACCGGTCGTTCGGCCTTGAATACCACTGCCCTATAATAAATCATATTATACGGTAGACACTGTCAGCCTGACAGTGAATGTTGTGGTCGCCATAATTATTTATTGTTGCACAAGACTGACACTGCTCCTCACCCGTCCGGCCTTTCACATTCAACCGGAAAATAACCCGAAGCTCAACTTACCTTCTCCAGCAACAAAAACAGCGACGGCTGCAGTTTTTTTTTGTTCGTCACAACGTTTACTTCAGTTCGATTGTCGTTATACCTACACCAGGCAAACATGTTGAGGTTAATGAACAAGATTTCCGGGTCCACGGGGCCTGTGGTGCAAAAGTGTTTCTCCAGCATTGCCCCTAAACCGATAATCAACCCACCGATTAAGTATACAGAGGTAGGTAGTTACTAGCTATTTATATTATTAAATGTACCTATTTATAACCTGTGTCAGTGGCGTGTAGAATATTTTTGTGTGTGGGGCCCAATGCATTTTTATTTTTACTACCACCACCACTACTTTTATAAGTGCAAACTGTGCAATTTACGAGTCTTCCCAACGGTTTATTGTTTTTTAACATTTAATTCTCTAATTCTCTATTATGACGAGTCAATCTCATATTGTCATGTCCTCACATCAGTACACTCCACCACCCACCCATTTATGTTGAGGCACAGGCCTCAAAAAATTTTATCCTCACCCCGCCACTGACCTGTGTCACGTCTGTTTACTTGTTTAATGTTTGATTTCATAAGCTACTATGTGCATGAGAAAAAATGTGTGCATAGATTTAAGTCCAACAATATAATATAGGTAGTTGGTGTTGGTATTTCTGAGCCGTTGTTGAATTTGTGTTTTAATAGGTTATAATAATAAATTCTGTTCATTTACCTATATTATAAAGATAACACTTAATGACTGTGATAATATTATTTTATTTTATTAGGTACCTACCTAATTAATAATTTTTATAAAATGTAAAAACTAATAATCACTGCTGTCTTACTGTATCTAATCATTTTAATTGGTACAGAACTTATCACTATTTTATGATTTATATTAAGTACTATATTTAATTTTTAATCACAAAAAAAATGTATTAATCTGAATACCTACTTATTGAAGTAAGTACATTATTTATAAATTGTAGAATCTCATCAAAAATGTAATGTACCTATATTTTATAGTGGTAAAGTATTTTCAGACATTAGGTATTACCTACCCATACATTCACAGGTTAATTCACAGTAAATTTGATATTATTAAACCTTAAATTGGCCCTGTAAAGACTAGTGAATTTAATTATTTTATATTGTCTAATCATCTATCTATTTTTTAGTTGAGATTTTTTTTTTATTTAGGTACCACTTCAATATGAATACCCACTTCATTATATCCAAATGGCTTCTTAGCATTTATATGATTTCATGTTTCAAAAATAAGATTATTGTTCAGCTATTATATAATATATATGTTACTATTTAGTACTTACTATCCTTCTAACAATTTCTGTAAATATTAAGAACCACTCTGTACCTATAATTAGAATTATTGTTGATATATTTATTTTCCCAAATCCATACCGTATATAGGTTATATTATATAAATAATTTTATAACTACAAAGGTGAAAGGTTATCTGTAGTTTATTATTAATTATTGAATTAAATAAAAATGGTTTGTCTATGTATGTTCAGTATAGGATGAAGTATAGGCACCACTGTACCAGTATAGTTTAATCTCTTCTCTATGATAGGAACTGTCAATTGTATTATGTATATGTATATTGTTTATTCATATTATGTTTATGTTTATTAGGTACATTATTATTTTATTTTTATTTTATCATTATAATATTACTGTATATAAGATGTACCTAATAGAAAGACCTGACAAATGAAAATGAAATATTGATAAAAGTTAATAATATTAATATGAAATATTTATGGCTAAAACTATTTGACTTAAATTAACGTTTTCACAATTAATATTTTCCTATAAATTAGCTATTATGAATTTTTTCAAGAATAATTTAATTAAATTTAAATTTTTTTCATTTTTTAGTATTAAAAAATATAAACAAAGACTTCTATAAATTATCTGATAAATTATATTTATAAAAAAACTAGCTGATCCCGTGCACTTCGTCGCCTGTTAAATGTATCAACTCAATATGACTCAAACTTTGTTTAATTCGTTATTCAATATTCGGTGCACCTATGGTGTTCAAAATTTATCTTATCTTTTCCGTTGCCCGGAATAAAAATTCTGGTCCAGCCACCCTGGTAGGCAATGTTCAATAATTCGATTTGATGCAAGCTTGTACCTGATCTGCCCGAATAACCAATGGCAACCAATAAATAAATGCTAATTTCTACTGTAGACTGTAACCAATGGCAACTATTAATAAATAAAAATAAAATTTCCAATTTCCATCGTGAATCTCAATGTCCCTGTTTGAGCACCTATTTAAAATGCGAATTTTGACAAATCCTTTCTTATTGCACGGTGAAAATATGAGAAGAACCTCTATTCCAAATTTCAAGTCCGTACGTTGACTAGTTTTTGAGATACAGCGATCAGTGAGTCAGTGATATTTGGATTTTATATGTATAGATAACTAATTATTGACTAACTTTATCGGACTTTATTTATGCCTAAAACCTGCTCCGTGATATCCTCTTTCATTTAAAAAAACTGCATGACAATTGGATAAGAAGTTTCGAAGCCAAACCGTGACAAAGATTTCCTCTTTTGCTTGATTTCAGTTTTATATATTTTATAGATATATTAAAACAAAAGTTATTTAATTTGTTAGGTAATTCAGTTACACCTTATAGGTAGTAGTTCTACAGGTGTTCATATTGTTTAAGACGGCATTATACATTTTGTATGTGTTGTCTTAGTCTTATCAAACTTTAGGCTAACAACTTTAATGGTGGCCCTATATTGGCTTTTTTACAATATTTTTATTTTTTTTACATTTTAATATTTATAAGCATTTTTAAATTTTAATATTTACTTGCTCATAGCATACATAAAAATAAAAATATCATAAAATAACCAATGTAGAGACACAGCCAATGTTCTTAACTTAAAGTTTGATAATATTTGAATTCACTCTAATATTAAAAGTAATAACACAGGGTTGGTTCTGCTAAAGGTAAGTCAGAGAGAAAAAACAAATAGTGCCCTGACATCCTCTTAACACAACCAGGCATCTTTAGATATGACACGAGGTATAAAAACGGAATATTTCTAAAAAAAAAATAAATACATCAAAATACTATGACAGTTCTGTGATTACTGGATTATAGGTACAATTGTATATTTTATTGATTTAATTAATTTTTGGTATTTTAGCTATTCATTAATAATGAATTTGTGAAATCATCATCTGGAAAGACGTTTGATACACTGAATCCGGCTACTGGTGAACCAATTGCTCAAGTTCAAGAAGGGGATGCTGTATGTTCTTTATTTTTCTAACTATTTTAATTTCTTGTGCTTATAATATTATATTAAATTGTCTAATGATCTATGCAGGTGGACATCAACAATGCAGTTGCTGCTGCACAAGAAGCATTTAAGTTGGGCAGCCCTTGGCGCACAATGGATGCTTCAAAGCGTGGTATGCTTCTCAACAAATTAGCAGATTTAATCCAACGAGATGCTAATTATTTAGCTGTAAGAATTACTACCTAATTAATGTATATTATTCTTATAAGGTTTTTAATTAAATTATATTAATTTTTTGTCAGACCTTAGAGGCATTGGACAATGGCAAACCTTATAGCGTTGCATTGTCAGACGATATACCTGGAACTGCTGGTGTATTACGGTACTATGCTGGATGGGCAGATAAAAATCATGGTAAAGTTACCCCAATTGACGGTAATTATTTTGCATATACCCGACATGAAGCAGTTGGTGTATGTGGTCAAATTATCCCTTGGAATTTCCCATTGTTGATGTTGTCTTGGAAAATTGGACCAGCTTTGGCCATGGGTAAATTATTTAATAATTAAAGTTATAATATATGTATTACAATTTACAATAATTTAATATCTATTGTAAATTTGATCAGGAAATGTTGTTGTTCTAAAGCCGGCTGAACAGACTCCTCTTACTGCTTTATACATTGCTAGTCTTGTGAAAGAAGCAGGATTTCCACCTGGAGTTGTTAATATTGTTCCTGGTTATGGTCCAACTGCTGGAAAAGCGATTGTCGATCACCTTGGCGTAGATAAAGTTGCATTTACTGGTTCGACTGAGGTAAATTATTCACTGTAAAATTATAAAAATACTATATTATATTTTGATTATATGTTTTAATTAGGTTGGCCAAATCATAGCTGAAGGTGCTGCTAAAAGCAATCTCAAGAGAGTGACATTGGAATTAGGTGGTAAATCTCCAAATGTAGTTTTCAGTGATTCTGACATTAATCAAGCTGTGGAAGGTGCTCATTATGGGCTTTTCTATAATATGGTCAGTTTTATAATTATATAATTTAATGTAATTTTTCAAGCTTAAATCTTTATGATTTAGGGACAATGTTGTTGTGCTGGTTCTCGGACATATGTTCAAGATTCAATTTATGATGAGTTTGTCGAGAAAAGTGCAAAAAGAGCAGAAAAACGTATTGTAGGAGATCAATTTGATCCCAAAACACACCAAGGACCACAGGTAATTTTATTTTAACAATACTCGTAAAATATAAACATATTATGAAAAAAATTATTGTTATGTGATTAGGTCGATGAAGAACAATTAAATAAAATTCTTAGCATGATTGACAGTGGAAAGAAACAAGGAGCTACACTTGTCACTGGTGGTTCACGAGTTGGAGACAAGGGCTATTTCGTACAACCAACTGTATTTTCTGACGTTAAAGATGACATGAAAATAGCAAAAGAAGAAGTACATTTTAGAATTACTTACAACTATCTATGCATTTCAGTGTCGTTATTTAATAATTTTATTATTTAATTCTACAGATTTTTGGCCCTGTACAACAAATATTAAAGTTTAGCGATTTTGACGAAGTAATCAGTCGATCCAACAATTCTGATTATGGTTTGGCAGCAGCAGTGTTTTCAAAGAACATAGACACAGTTAATAAGGCTATTCAGAGTTTTAGAGCTGGAACTGTTTGGTAAGTAGTGAGAATAACTTGAATATTATTCTTATTTAAAATAATTCATACATACAGGGTTAATTGTTACAATGTATTTGGAGTACAAGCACCATTTGGCGGTTTCAAAATGTCTGGTCATGGTAGAGAAATGGCTGAATATGGTCTGCAACCATATACCGAAGTAAAAACAGTTATTGTTGCTACACCAAAAAAAAACAATTAATTTATTTTTTTCCATGTTAATTTATTTTATATTTTATATTTATTATTTGTTTAACTCAAAATTATTTATCAGTGCCATTTTTTAAATTTTATTGTTTCTAAATATTTTAAGCAAAAGTTTACATACTGTGCCATTATGGCATTATATTGATAATATTATATAATTACCACAAGTAAAAAATATATATTTTACTTTTTCAGTATTTTAAACTATAAATGCAATATTTTATCAAAACAACACATTCCTACTCTTAAACCACTTAATAACTCAACCAATAATAGTATACCTGATTTATATTTTAATACCTATATTATAATCTCAGCTTTTTCATACATATACAATAAAAAAAACAGAAGTTATTATTTTTTTTTTTTTAATGTTATACCTTGAAAATATTTAATTTTCTTACATTATAATAATTTATTGATATAAGAATAATTTACACACAGAATAGGTTGCTATTTAATATTATTGGGGTTTTTTGTTTTGATCTATTACAATAATAAAATTAACAAATTTAATTTTCATTCTTTCAGTTTGAATGTTTGATACTTTTGGGTATAAATGTATAATAATATTAAGCTAACTATGTACATCTGTACGAACAATAAATGTAGTGTTCAACATGAGTGCACAACATATCATTTAAATTAAAATAGTACCATCAAAACAACAAATGAACAAATGCAGCTAAAGTAATAATTCAATTTTAATTATTCAAAATAATTTGTTTAAGAATAATAATTGTCCTCTTGAATATTTAAATGTTGTATAATATTATGTTATTACTTTTAAATTATAATACATTATTCCCAAAGTAAATAATAATGATGTTTCAATGTTTCCTTTAAGAGGACGCTACACCCGCATGTGTTGTCTCCGTCTTACACACGTACGACATAGACAAAACGCGTTTAGGCAGTCTGAGTATAACTCGCTCAATTTTGGTTCTAGAGTAAAAATACCTATTATGAAATTGAATTGTGATAATATTTCTAAGGGCAAGACGCTGCGGTTTTTTTAAAAAATTTAATTTTTTAAAAGTCAAAGGTATTTTAAAAATGGTGAAATTTTTTCTATTTCTAAACGATATAATGAACGTTATATTGGGTATAATGGAAAAACCGCAGCGTCTTGCCCTTAGAAATATTATCACAATTCAATTTTATAATAGGCATTTTTACTCTAGAACCAAAATTGAGCAAGTTATACTCAGACTGCCTAAACGCGTTTTGTCTATGTCGTACGTGTGTAAGACGGAGACAACACATGCGGGTGTAGCGTCCTCTTAATAGTTTAATATAATGGCATATAGGTAGTAGGTACCAGGTTTATATTTTAAATGTGAGGTAATTAAACACAAAAAATGTGCATTTTGTTACATAATTAAATGTATGGGACTGTATGATATACTGTATACGTCATAATGTTAGTATCAAAATACTACTCCAAATGAAATTAGACAAAAGATAAACAAACTTGTATGATGATCATAATTGAAAAGTATATCAGCCTCGGTATATGTTATACATTAAAACTGGAAGACTTATTCACAATGGAGGGGCCGAGTATAAAGAAACATCGAATTACTGAGATCACGTCCGCCTCTCGAAAACTTGTAATTGTGTTGATCTTGTTTATACAATATTTGGGTCATTTGGGATCCTAGTACTGCTCAAAACGCTTTAATGCTCGAACGAGTCCAAAATACATTTTTAAAATATGCCAGTCATGTACTTAAGATTGAATGTCCTCCTCATAATTATTTACCAGTAATTGAGTATCTCAAACTAGATTCGCTAGCGAATCGTAGGCGTGCTGCTAAGCTTACATTTTTATCCAAGTTATTAAATGGACAAATTGACTAACCACACCTTCTCTCTCTAATTCCTTTAAATGTCCCTCCACGCTTCACCCGTCAACACACTACTTTTAATTTACCTACCACCTCCACAAATTATGGTTTAAATGAACCACTTCGACGCTGCATGTCTTATTGCCAATTCAGACCCCTTCTTTTCTATTTCATAACGTAATCAAGTATTTTTGTATCACTATATTTCACTGTTATCACATTATTGTAATTGTTATATTAATATTATATGAAATTGGGCTCACGCCCATATTGTATGCTAAATAAATAAATAAATAATCATTGGTTGCTATTAAATTAAAATATCGAATAATATATAAAACAATTCATAATGATTTACTGGTATTATAGTAGAAAAGTAGTGTGATCGAGACAGGTGTTATACGATTTTCAAAAACTTTAAAAACAAACAAATTGGTTTCTGAACGTGCCAATTATAATAAGTGGGAAAAATGTGTTCAATACAGCAATCGACAAAGTAGAATAAATTGTTCTATGTATCGGCACCGTTGAATATCAATGTGTTTTGAATTGTGGACGAAAAACGGAATAAAGTGAAAAGTATGATAACGTACAAAATTGTAGCCAGCTATAATAAACAGTAAGTACAAACGCCATAAACAAAATAAATAGACATGGGTATATCATTAATTACATAAAATAAAACAAGTATACTTTTAAGTTTTATTATACGGGCATACGGCGAAACATTTGTATAGGTACCTACCTACTACCTATGCATTGAACAAAAACAATATAAATCTTACTATTCAGAAAAAAGTTAGATCCCATGACGTCTACAACTGACGGGAGACGACCGTGTATGAGAACTGTTTAGAAAACATTATTTTATATATTGTTAGTGATTAAGTTATTATAATATACCTATTCATACGATACTACTAAACACACTAATTAAGTGCGTACCTATTATAACAACTGGTATAGCGTGGCGTTCTTTGCAGTGGCGCCGAAACCTTAAAATCATAGGAAGTAACTTGTATTTTTTGTTATAAATTGTGCCAAGTGCCAACTTGTGAAGTGAAAGACAATACGCCGGCGTCCGGTTAGATGTCTGTAAGAGAAAATTTGATTTCTGGACAGCTATAAGAGTGCAGGTACCTTAATACTTTAAATCAATTGCGATTTTACTATTTTTACAAAAAAATGTAAAAGATTTACTGTAAGTTTTGAACACCCAGTTTATTATATAAATATTAAATACTATAATATCTTTATCTTTTTGAAATAGTCGTCACTTGTATGACTTTAGCGTATAGTATACTAATTATTATTATACTCTGTCCACGCATAGGTATAGGAACTATTAATAAATCAAAATTGTAATAGTGATGTCATTTTTAAATAGTGTTGAAAATCATGAATATACCTATAGTGACTGAGTTCAAACAGTAACCCATTAGCGCAATGTAACCGATTAATTTAGGACTTGAATGTAGACTGTAGATCGTAGATGTATAGCCCTATAGGTATATAATATATTATAAAGTGACGTAGGTACTGTTTTAATTCTACACAACGAGTCATGACTTTTAAAATATCCAACTCGTTTTTACTAGTATAAATAAATAATAATTTGTAATTAAAATTAATATTCATGCTATATTAAGTACCATCGATATTCGATGCCATCAATGGTGTTTAATATATTATACCTACGTGTGAGCGTCTGTGTGGCATTCAAACATTGTTTCGTTGATAGGCACCTTCATGATAGAAGTAAATTTATTTCTATCATGGGTATACCTATATACCTCTATCTTAATATCCACATACTTTCGATTTGTGCCGTATTATTTTTTAAGCGTACCTATACAACGTGTTACCTTAGTACAGAAAATATGTTTTTTTTTCTTACAAGCAACAAAATATAGTAGGTATACAGTGAAAGATGATGTTTGTGTTTAGTCAAACAAGTTTTTAATCAATATTCAATAGGCTTGCAATAAACTGTTTTTGACCTATTCTCAAAAACGAAGGTTCCTATATTATGTATTATGTAGGTATATATAGTATATACACGTATAAGTAGATAAGTACTAAAGTACCTAAATGGAATTCATACCAAACAGATTGTCGGCTTTCAATGTGTCGAAAAATCTAAATAGTTAAGAAAAGTGTGGCGATACATTTTAGATAAACGTGTTTTTCGGCTTTTATAATGACACGAATTTCGGTCAGTTTGATAAAAATCAGAATCGCCCATTTAGATGTTTATTTGATTAATGAATACATATTTTATTTTAATTTAATTATATTTTATTTTTTAAGTTGTTAAAAGGTAAATTGTCAGTTCGTACCGTCTTGTCGACGAAAACAAATTCGAATACGATTTGTGTCAATTAAAAATAATAACCATTTAGGTATCTCAATAATCTCAATATATAACTATCAACTAATTATTTTTAATTTTCTTATTATAATAATTTTATAATACATTTCGATCAAGAAGAATTGCTTACATTTCTACATTTTATAACTATTGCTTAAAATAGTAGCAACAAATTTAGTATTTTAGTATAATATTTATGGGTACGTATATAAATGTGACTTATGCATATTGTAATATGTGAATTAAATAAAAATATACAAATCATAAAAATTATATTTCTGTAAAGTAGTTTATAGGAAGTCTATTCTAATTTCTAACTTAACCAAACTTTAAGTTTGTATATGTAAGAGTAATATTTACTTAATGTGCCTATGTATATTTCTCTTTATGAATGAATAAAATGATTATTATTTATTATACACATTACAGTATTACATGTAGGTACAAGCATTAACATTGATACGATAATTTGTATACAAACATCCGAGAATGGTAAATAACTTTAAAAAAAATAAATATTTTAACGTAAATAATCTAAAAGCAAAATGTTGTAAAAATAAATTATTTTTTACTGTAAACCGTACACTGTATTTAACCGAACCTATTCGTAGATAGGCAGTAACAATCGAGCGTCATTAATAATAGTATAATATATTATATTTTATGATTTAATCTAGGACAGGTGACTGTATACACACGAAGTGCAAGTTTTGAAAAATAAAAAGAATATTTACTGTCCATAGTCTATATAATATTATAATTTATTGTGTCTGA